ACATGAACAATACGTAATTTAATGAGCATGAGTAATAAGTGTTATTTACAAAAACAATTAGCAGGATGGATTTGACCTGTGAACTAGAATTTTTCAATCCTTGATCTAGAGCACTGAATAAATTGCTAGACCATTAGAGAGGTAAACTTTGGTAATAATAGAGTAGCCGAGGATTAAGGTGAACTAATCTGTTTTTTAATCACAAAAGAAAAAATATAAACTCTCCAAATTATGACAATCAATATTATAAAAAATATAAACTCAATTATTAAAAGTTGGTTTTAAGTACTTAAGGAATTGATCACTAGGAGGCAGCATTAGTTCACTAAAAGCAATCCATGCAAAACAATTAGTTTCCTATTTTAAACTTTAAAAATTGATATAGTATCTAGACATATTYATGAGTACATTATAAGGCATACATACAATGTGATGATCAAATCAGGGTAATTATTAATAGACCCTTTCAGAGAAGTGTTGCTGATTGTGTTTTTATATTTAAGCAAAGTATTTGCAAAAGTCTTTTTTGACATCATTTTGAATAAGTTGTATGACAACGTGGTTAAGTTGACAATTTTTCAAGTTTATCTACAAAACATGAAGGAATGGATTGGTGCCAGCCTTTAGAAAATCTGTACTGACATGCGACGAGGGGTTTTCCTCTTGCCTGTTTTATTCAACATTTTTGTTAAGGTCAATATAAGAAAATTTTAATGTTACTCTGTTAAAGTGTGTAAGTGACAGAAACTGAAGAYGTTAGAGATCCTCTTATACTGTTTGATCAAATCAGAATCCAAAAGTAACCCAATAGTCTAGGATAGGGCTTGGCAAATTATAGCCTACAGGCCACATTTGTTCTGCATCCTGCTTTTGTTTAACTGTTAAGTAGTTTTTATAGTTTTAAAACATYGTTTTTGTTTTTTTAAGGGAGAACAGAGAACAATATAAGATAGAAATCTTAGATAGCCCAGAAAACCTAAAATATTTACCATCAGACCCTTTACAGAAAAAGTTTACTGACCCCTCATCTAGAAAAATAAACAGAATTTAATAAAATTTTTTTAAAAAGATAAATTGAAAATATTGAGCTTTACCTCATACTAACAATCTGACAGAACAATTTTCAGCACAAATGCAGGGTTGTGGAGAATGAGATTTAGCAGTTGTGTGAAAATAATGCATTAGAATTGATAAGCTCAACCTGAGTTAATTACAAGATGTGATTGTTAAAAGCTAATGTTGCTTCAAATAATATTCATTTATAGAAATAAAGAAATTAGGAAATGAAGACAGTCATTCCATTTTTTTCTTCAATAGTCAGATTA